TTCAACTGCTAGCCAAAAAGGTTGTGGGTTCGAAACCCCGATGAGCTTCATGCGACGCACACTGTTGATGATTCTCAATAAGGATGAAGCGGTTGCGCAAAGCTGATCACCTTCTTGGCATGAACTAAATTCATCTGCAGCACAAAATCTTACACGAAAACAAAATCACTTACCGAGAAATACACTCATTTGCAAATCAATTTGCTCTTCATGAGAAACTCAACTGAATCTCTCGTTTCTGCTATTCTAGAACTGAATGTGCTGCACACTCATGATTCAGTTGGCACGATATTCGAGATATCGCAGCATATTTTCATAAAGTAAACTACTCACAAGGTTGCTGAAAACTCTCCGACAGCCCATGAAAATATACTGTGATACCGAAACCGGTAGTGAGCTGTCAAAGATTTTTCAGCAAACTTGTGAGTAGATTCCTTTGTGAAAACCACTTACCACTGAGGAGAATGTTAATAACTCAAGTTGTGTTGGTCATCTTTGATTTGTTGGCAGACCCGAGTGCCTTGCTTGCAAACAGCAACAAATCCTTAAGCGGTCGCATCTGTTCGACTGGTAGCTGCTCTGCAACAGCAAAAAGCCTGAAATGTCTGTCCCAGCCCAGATTGAAGCCATAGAAATTGTGTATTTCTTTCGAATATAGAAGTCGACCATACAAAAATTTCCCAGAATAGCCTCAGTCTGTCATTGGCTCAAACGTGACGGACGGTAACCCAATTCCATCTCAATGTTCTTGCCACAGACTAACAATCCTTTTGGTTCTTTCACAAAACCTAAAATCACTTAGAAAAACACCAACCTAGGCAATTAAGATGAAGTGCACGATTTCCATGTTCGACAAAACCTACGGGGATCCAACAGTCTGAAAGCAAGACGAATTTTCTTTGGCTGAGGTTCTTTGTAGACATAACATACGTGACTTTTTGAAATACTGAAGAGAGTTTGTAATTATCCGTAACAAACAAACTATGCATCTATATTTCCCACAAGCAGATATGGAAAGAAACCCAATGAATGATCCCGTTTGAGGACGCTCTGGGACGGCTAGTAATGAGCCATTTGTTAGAACGCGGACCGATTTCGTAGGGCGAGGAGTCACTACGAGTGGTCTACTCCATCACAAGTCTGATATCTCTGTTTAGATTTCGTTTTGTGTGCGAAATTCAGTCTGTGCCGAAAATCTTGGAGGCGTAGTGTAGCTGACTCACATTTACTGGTAACCGTTAGAACAAGAAGAGTGGACTTTTCATTTGAGAAGTCGTTATCTGAGGAGTCATTCAACAGTTGACCACGTGTTGCGACTTTCCTGACTGAACGAACAGTGACGCAATAGTATGCCTGGGTGCTAGTTAGACACAATCCTCATCAGGCCCTCATGATCGGGAGTTTTAGACTTCACTCATTAACTGGAAAGGGGTGGATTCGAATCGACTCGAAAATTCATGAGATACGCACAGCCTATGAATGAAACGAACAGCCGTATAGTGTTTCTGATTTTTCAGTGTCGAGTGACTTCAGCTACATGAAATCAATTCGACGCTGCCTCAGGTCAGATTATTTACTTACTTTGTTTATTTATTTGTTCGTTCACTACTTATTCAGGGCGACATTGTCCAATTGGTTAGAGCGCAAATTTACTGACCGGAAGGTGGGTGGTTCGAACCCTACCTTTGCCTCTCGACTTCCCCTGTCTAGGCTTGGGCAACCTGGCAGTATCCCAGCCCTCGTGCTTCCTTCGGATGGCGTGGCAGTTAGGCACCAGAAGGGTGCTACAGTTGAACGATACATGAACACCAGTCGGCCTGTAGTTAAATCTTCCTAGGTGACCTGAAGGAGCCCGGTAAAATATTTTCTGGAAAAAATCAAATTTGGAAAAGGTTTGGAACCGACTGGGAAGTCCATCGTTGCGAAGGGCTTGGTAAACAATCGTTAGTTTTTATTTGGGCAACGTTGCGCTCTTGACACAAAAGCCAGTGAACAGGTCACTGGATTCGCCAGGTTATAAGACAGACGGGGAACCAGTCAGTAAGTCCTCTTCAGATTATCACACTAGATCGGTGTTGAGTGTCAATCAATGGCTCTTGTCGGCTAGTGTGTTTGCAAAATCTTGAATTGATGGGTGGAGGAGTTTCAATAAGTTCCAATCGGCTTTTGTTCCTTAATCTTCTTGACTAACCGCGGTTGCCGCTGACAGATTTCGTTGGTCTTTGTGGGGTTGTGAGGGTTGCGGCAATTTAGGTGGGGGGGGGGTGAGGTCAAGGGGAATTCAGATGACGACTACTCCTCCTTCTGATAATCGCATACCAACACGTGCTCGCTCGAGCGACCCAAGACCGTTCTCCACACGTTTGCCAGTTCCAAGCCTTCTGTTCTCTTAATACTGCGATGCTGGGCGATTTCTACCGCCTCGGCCATCAGTTTCTGTGACGTGGGCCGTGTTCCTCACCTGCAAACTTCGACTCTTCGAAAGCCCACGACCGGTTTCGCCCTTCTTGGGGCTCATCAGGTAGGCGCAGTCCCCGAGTTTCCGCCAACCTTATGATCTACCTGAACCCTAATTGCACTGAAACATGGGGGCGGTTTGTGTGCAGCACTTTCAGTTGTAGACTATCATAAACGAGAGATTCAATTGAGTCTCTCCTGAAAACCAAATTGACTTGCAGATGAGTTTATTTAATCTGTTTACAGTGACCTTTAAAAGGTGTTTTAATTTATCGTGAAGTTCAAGAAATTGTCCCACATATTATTGTGTAATATATAAAGACCGGTCGCGGGCTGTCGAAGAGTCTTCAGCAACCTTGTGAGTAGTTTCCTTTATGAAAATATGCCGCGATATCTCGAATATCGTGCCAACTGAATCATGAGGCGACCTGTGTGCAGCACATTCAGTTGAAAGATATCAGAAACGAGAGATTCAATTGAGTCTCCCGTGAAAACCAAAATGATGTGCAAATGAGTATACTCCCTAGTTCTGTTTACCGGAAGGCGATCCTTCAATTGCACCAGTGTAGAGCATGGAGTGTTTGGCAGTGTCGTCACTGATGCCATATTGCTGGAAGATAAGCAATAGAGCAGCTGCTTAGCTGAACACAATCTCATCCTGGCTGTTGCGACAAAACGTTTCCCTTTTCACCTCAATGTACCTAGTCCCGTTGTGCACAAAATTGTGGGACCTAGCAGATAGTTCGTCAATGACGCTTCGAGATAGCGGCCACTCGAAACCGGATGTATCAACCGTGTACCTAAAATTGCTAACAAAGTGTAGCTATTGCGTCACTGACCAGCTGTGTCGGTATTTTTTCAGATATCATGATACAAGAACGTTAGATAGGTTTTCTACTTCAGTACTCATTACTGCTATTAAAGTGCATTTACTAAGTTTCTTGGCGAATTTGCGAAATCCAGGTGTTGAGGTTTCCGATACGCGTGGGTTCCACAATCCCGAACATCGGAAGGAAGAATTGGGTTCGAAATTCTACGGTACTGTTTACACAAGGGCAAGCAAATGTGCACAACAAACCTCAATTGTTGACTCAGCAACCTTATGAGTAGTGCATTGCATATATACATGTATCGCCGTATCTCGAACATCGTGACGACTGAAAGATGAGGCGGCCTGGTGCAGCGCATTCAGTTGCCTGGACGATCACAAACGAGAGATTCAGGTGAGTCTCTCGCAAAACTTAATTTGTTTGCAAATGAGTGTATTTCACTTAATTGTTCACGTTCGCAAGGTCAACAATTTCACAGGCCTATCACTGACCTGCACAATGCAGTGTCAACGTCCGCACGCCAAACAACGGTGAGCAGAATGATGGCTCAGTAGTGTGGGTTGCGGCCATCCTTTCCGACCAGTCTCGTGATTCTCACTGGCCGTGCGAACACATGAAACTCATGAGAAAACAGGTCAAGGCAGGACAGGAACGCGCGTGGGTAAGTAGGTCAGCATCGCACATTCGCACAGACAAATGCCAATGCACAAAATGTCGGATGGGGCGGCATCTACGGCAAGATGAGTGGCTGAGTAAGCAACTGAATGGGGGGATTATCATAAGGTCAAGTTATATTCAACACCGAGCTTTGGTGCAACCCTTTCACAACGACCGCCGGTTAGTCCATGCAAAACGGTTGTTTGGCGATACCGATTTGCGCTGGCCCACAGTCTGTTCCCCATCCCAGTTTGTCTCTGTGTCCTTTGACATAGCAAGCAACTCTGAAGCTTAGTGGCAGTACTATTGTCGTTATAGGCCTGTTCTGTCCCAATCAAATTCACAACACAAATCTGTTTGGAATGCTCAGAAGCTCTCTCTTTCTCTAAGTTTTCATCACACGGAACTAACCACACCAACTAACAAAACAAACACACAGAAGTGGTGAACCAAGGTTGTTTGCCTTGTTCTCGAGCGCTTGTCCTTTAGCCTGTGAAGAAAAGTTGACCTTTGAGGGCATTGTTCTCAGTGGTTAGTTTCGGGAATGCTTGAGAAATCATAGTTTCCAGTGTTTCTTTTTCTCTCCGCGAAGATGCGTCGGCGCAAGCTAAAAGGCTTCGAAGGAGGATGTTCCAGCTACATTCAAGAGGGAATTGCATTAAAAGCCGAAATTACGGAGTGTATTGTTCCCTATAATGAGCCAGAAAAGATCATTTAAACTGGGTAACTGCGCTACGGCGTTCAGGAACACTGTGCCCCACTACCTGGATTCGAAGTGACATTGATGGTTCACAACCTGTATATATTTGTGATGCACTACTCACAAGGTTGCTGAAAACTCTTCGACAGTCCTCGAATGGTTTTGCCCTCCTTGGGGCTCATCAGGTAGGCACAGTCCCCGAATTTCCGTCAACCTTATGTTCTACTTGAAACCAAATTGCATGAAATTAGTAAAACGCACTCATTTGCAAACTAATTTTGTTTTTCGGGAGACTCACCTAGAACCCAGCTGAATCTCTCGTTCCCAACCTGGTTTATGGTTCCATAGACTGCTTCATGTTACCACCTGCTGCAAATTTGATGGATTATTCCTGCGTAGTCCGTTCGTGTTTTGTTGGCTTTCTTCTGATTAAGGATCAAATAAGAACTTACCACCCTTGGAAGTGATACGCTACTCATAAGGTTTCCGAAAACTCGTCGAGAGCCCATGACTGGTTTCGCCCTTCTTGGGGCTCAGCAGGTAGGCGAATTCCCCGAGTTCCGATCAATTTTATGTTCCACGTGAGCCCGAATTGAACGGAACTAGCGAAATACACTCATTTGCATACCAGTTTAGTTTTGACCGAAAACTCACCTGAAACCTAGCTGGATCCCTTGTTTATGATTTTTTAAGTAGCACACTCAAATTCTTAAAAAATCACAAACGAGGGAATCAACTGGGTTCCAGCGGAGTCTCTCGTCAAAACCAAATTGGTGTGCAAATGAGTGTGCTTCGCTAACTTAATTTCTTCTCATGGGAATTTTATACAAGGTAAACTAATTTCCAAAATCCCTTTTGTTTCAGGATATGCCGATTTACTTAAAGAGGACAATCCTGGCAACATGTATACCAGATTCCATGGGTGGTAATTGAAGTAGAGTGATAAATATCGGAGGACGCACTTACAATCTACAAGTAGGATGATAAACTGACATGATGACAAGGTTATGTTATACTGACTTAGGTTCATTAAAAATCAGACCCGAAAATATGAAGCTGTGTGAATTTACACCCCTTACTGTATGTCTACCTCCTCCGCATTTGAGTATTCGACACTACACGTAACAGGGAGTTGAGTGAGTTCCCGGATTCTTTTGACTGATGGGTTTTGCGAGCCGGCGGAAGTAAGCCTGTGGCGAGCTTGGTGAGTACACACATCAGACCGCTCTTACAGACACGTGGTACGACCGGGAATTTCCGAAGCAAGTTACCTTTCGAACCCTGATGAGCTCGAGACAAGGTAAAGCGTGCCGAGCATTGCTCACACACAAGCAAGCGTAGACACACACACACACACACCTGCTCAAACACCACAAATACATATAGGACGGTGGACACCATACGTACCTATCCAAAGTGAACATTAGAAATTCCGGATAAACATTCACCATTCCGTGTCATTGAGTCTAGGTCTGAATTAGCCTGATACTTCGAAATTATCCACTGGGGGATTCCGCTCTCCACGGATTGGTTAACATTGTGTTGAAGACGCTTGTTCAACAGCGACAGGATAATTAGATAACCGGATGGTTTTCATGCAATTAGGGTACCAACCAAGTTCACCGAATAGGCCCTACTTGGTCGACAACATTTCGGAGATTGATCCTTTTGAAGATCCACGTTCTACCTTTGTAGACGTGATTCATTCGATGTTTTTCTGAAATGAATACTTGCTTATTTTGGCTTTGATAAAGATTTCATATATTTACCCTATCATAGAACCCCACCAGAAGTATGACCTCTGCTAGTTACCTATCAAGGAATCTGAAAAATTGTTTCTCGCCTAGTAATCTCAGACGTGCAATAAATAGAACCAAAATCGTGATAGAACTAGGTGTTCGGGCGTCGAACTGTCTACTAACAACAACCTTGATGGTAAAAGCTTCGACTCACTAAATGTCTAAAATAACATCATTCAGTTTCTTATTCTTATGGCCGTGTGTTCACTTATTTTGACCAGGTATTCCCGTGTCCTGGAATTCTACCGCATTACGTAAAAATGTTCGGGGATCAGCTGATTGTTATCCACCGTTAGAGAATATTTTACAAGCACATACAAGTCCGCCGTCGTGGTTTAATTAGTAATTTCTGTGATTTGTAATTACCGCGCCGTATGTACATGTGTTTTTGTCATATCACCGGAATTAGGCTTTCGCCCAAAGAGTGGAATTATTCAGGAAACAGAGACTGACGAATGAAAACGCGTAGTGCGCCACGACTGTTCCCACCGCGTCAATCAGGCAGTCAGTATGAGACAAGAAAAGTCTAACGTATTGGCAGGCATTCAGACACTCAGTAGACTGTCGTCAACCCCTGTTTGACTCAGCTTCCCACGTCGGGACACCATGAGAGCGCGCATATTTGCGTCTTGTTCATTATGCGTTTCCGATGATACCAAGATAACAGGTACCATATCACGATCGTCTTACTCAAGGGACCAAAAATTACCGAGAATTTGTCCTGGCATTTCATCCCTCTTAATTAATCGAAAATCAGCTTTTTAGAATACCAAAAGAGGGTCTAAAATTCTGAAACTCCTCTGGCCTCATACCCAGCAAGTATATGAGGACTGCTGGCTTAAGATTTTATGGAATCAGTAGTGCGTGTCCAATGGAGACATTTCAGAATATCCTATTTCTCCAGCTAGAAAAAACAGCAGTGCGCCGACGGCTTATGTAGTACGAACGCCCGGTGAGCATCCCGATAAAAAAGAGGCTATTTGTCACTCGAAGCTATGACCAACTGTCTGGTATAACCAGATCTGATTGTTAGAAATAACAGGCACCAATCGCCACCTAATTGCCGTTAAGCAATTGGATGATTTCAGACCCAAAAAAAACGGTATATCTGACAGGTAACACAAGCAATAAGGAGACACAAAAACACCAGCTATCCAGGCACTCTTTACGGATGCATCGTGGTATACTCGGCTTTTGCTCTCGCACACTTCAGTCATTTTTTACTGCTTAGCTTTTTGGTTGCGTGCTTGTAATCGCTAACATCATATTTTACTTACAATTTCCTAAGGCTGTGACAAATGCTCACTTAATGCACTAACTCTTTTGCTCACCAACTGTCACAGCTGTCAGCGGCAAAGCTTTCGTTGCCACCGCTGGTCCGGAAAACACTCAAAAGCACTCAAAGAAAATCTTATCGACTGTTAATGACCAAAGTTTACTTTCATCAGCCTACATCTCTTGGTAGCCGTGTGTTCACTGCGCTACAAGTGCACTCCTACTGCATCAATCATATCAGAAAAATAGGAGCATTCCATAGCAAATCAAGTCCAAATGAGGTTTGGGTTGGAGAAGGGGTGAATCGTTGAGCTGGTATACTTGGGTTCGCTTCTCACGGCCGCTTTGCTTCATTGGTACGCTACTGGGTCAGTTCACATTCAAAGTTGTGTGGGTAGTGGTGTTAGTAGGCTACTGAATAAGTATGCTCAAGAAGACTGGCCACTCGACGAAGAGTATGGGTGTACACGCCAGAGTGGAGGCGAAACGTACCCCGATCGACCCTTGCGAGTAGATTTAGCTGAATTGGACGCTGTTCAGCAGCAAACTGACCTCTGATGATGAGTCTCAAGATAAATATCTCCCCACAACTCATTGATTTCCGTAAAAACACTGGCGGGCGTTGACCAATAAACTCTGTCATTCAACATTGGAAACGCATATCACCCAAAAGTACGTGTATTATCGATGGTTGCAGTCGACTGGCCCTCAGTAACCAAATAATCTACAGCCATGCTTCCATAAAATGCAATCCCAATTCAACAGAAGTCAAACTACGAAAGGAAGCAAGATGCTCCTCAAATACCGTCTGAAAAATTCCTTTTAAAACAAGACTCGGCGACTTGGTTTTCACTGGGAACTCATGTGAATCCCGGCTGAATTTCCCGTTTATTAGATTCGTCAACCATATAGAGGGTGTCCCGTATTACAGTTGGCACAATGTTAGAGACATAGCAGCATACTGCTACTCATGGGGTTTCTGAAAACTGTTTGACAGCCCACAACCGGTCTCGTCCTTCTTGGGACTCATGAAGTAGCCGCAATCCCCAAATTTTCTTCTGCAAATTGTACTGTGACATCTGAGACGTGGGGTGACATTTATGCAGAACACTCAGTTGAACGAAAGATTCAGTTCAGGCTCAGTTTATTCCCCCGTTAGAACAAAACGGGTGTGCAAATGAGCTTACCTAGCTAATTTCGTGCGATTTGGTTTCACGGGGAACACACGATTCACGGGACCTAGGGGACCGAGGATCTCCAGGTACGTTGAAATCGGTCGTAGGATGTCCAAGAGTTTTCAGCAACCTTGTGAGTGGTATCCCTTAATAAAATAATGCTACTTTGGTCTACTTTCCAAAAAAGTAATTGTGAAAGTTTGAAAATGAACTAGACGTTTATCCTATCATGTCTTACAGAGCCTAGGCATCGGAGCAAGTTTGCAGGTTTTACAAGATGACGTCCAACTGGCGCAAGAATCAGGCCTACTCACTTCACAATAGTTCACTTGTTTGAAATCGCGAAATCGCAGTCTATGCGTTGCCGAACCTGGTGTCCCGAAATTCAGGTTAGTCTAGCATAACAGTGGCTTTTGTGGACACCGCGGACGGTTGCAATTGAGCTACTGTTCGATGAAGGACGAGTATCGATAGACTACAATTGTCTGAAGCAAGTCCGATGTAGGCCAACTCTAGAAGCCCCCGTTCAAATCTATGACATTAACAGACCAAACTATGGGAACAAATGCAGCAAACAGAGATAATGCCCCATGATTTGGCTGTATAAATAGCATGCAGCTAAATCGCCTGTTAAAACTAAATTAGTGTGGAAATGAGTGCATTTCGTCAGCCGCAACCAATCTGGGTTCGAATGGAGTATAAGGTTGATTAATGGGGAACTCGGGGACTGCACATACCCAGTGATCTCCAATAAGGGCAGAACCGGTCTCGGCCTGTCGACTTGCTTTCTGAAACCTTAAGAGAAGTGTTTCCCCAATAATTGAAATCCAACATTTAGGATTAGTCGTAGACGGTCCTTTTGAGTTCCAGTTAGTCCCAATGTTGGAACCGGTGAATTTTAAAATGTGCCAATCCATACTTGGAAGAGTGGCATCCTAGTCATGTGATCACAAAACAGAAAACATATTTATCAGTGGGTTCAGTGTTCTCAGTCATTCTTGTACAACGGAGAAGTTTTCCAAGTTCCCTTGACGTGCACATCGAGCATCATGCGTGAACCAACGGAACTGCAGAACGTGCACCACAGTTGACCACAGTTTTCATGACATGCCTGGCTGGACGCTTACGGCCTTCGTCCTCAGTAGGTTGCACTAGGACTGAACCGGAGGAAACATGTCTTATGGAAACGCAAGCCATTGATTCAAGTGACGGGAAGCAATCAACTGTTGGGAACCGCGATCGTCCATGCTGTTTCGCACATTATCTCCCAAAATGGCGACCATTTCTTTCTAACTGTTCATGCACTTAACTTGGGCCCGGATCAGAAGAAACTTGTCCAGTGCAGTATCACTAACCACATTACTTTTTATTCGGCACTGCGTAGACAGCAGTTTTTTTCCACACTATCTTTCCGTTATATGGCGACGGTTGAATTCAGGTTTCGGGACACCCAGTGCTCTATATTGTTTACCGCCGTGTATGCAGCTGATTGTGGTGCCCTTTGATAGATACTGCTAGCCACGAATAGACTACATGATATAATTGTCCAAACTTTTGTAGGTGATCCAGTGGGCTTAGCCGAGCACCCGGTAGCACCTTGTTCACTGTTTTTCTCTCTCCCTTGATACGCCTTCAGCGGTGCTTGTCTCATCTTATCGAACAGTCCCAGCAAACGCCATTGATGTTTTATAACTCCTTTCCTCTTAAAAATGAAGGGATGTTCAGATATGTATGCTAACTTTGTTACAGTGTCTTTTAGAGCCAGCTGAGTAGTGATGAGTTCATTGAGAATTAAAAGTGTTCGACTGAAACCAAGCTAGCCTGATGGGTCATGTCCCCTCAAATCACCAGTTCTTTCATTTTTTGTCAGCCGTTGAACTTTGTACCAACTCTTCCCAGCTAAATTCCGGCAGCTTCAAGCTTCTAAAACCATTACCCGGTGGTCAGTAGAGATAAAACCATCCACTAGGGTATCAGGGAACTGGTATCCCAGTCTTGGAATCGGCGATTAAAAGATCCCCATCAGTTGCAATGATCAACAGTACAGGGATGAGTCGATCTCACTGCCTCACTTATTTGCAGCAGTGAACCTTCAAACTAGGGGAAAAAGTTGCAGCATTCTCATAGCGCTGTGCAGTGTATCGGGTTGACGGCACTCCAGACGCCTCGGCAGACCTGACAAATGTTCGCTGGGCTGGGCAATTTGATAAGAATCGTTTCATCACCAATCGAGATGACATCATCAGTGCGTTATTGGGGAATGTAGTGGTGCGTAGCAGTGGGTTAGTGGTTGTGTGTACAACCACTACGCTACCACTAAATCTAGGCTACATGAGCTACCAGTATTTCCCTCTACTGAAAAATGTTCTCTAAAACGGGATTGAAAGCTTTCGAATATTACTGCTAATGTAACGGTGATACTACTGATGGGGAGGCATGCGGTTATTGGGGATGTAGTGGTGCGTAGCAGTGGGTTAGTGGTTGTGTGTACAACCACTACGCTACCACTAAATCTAGGCTACATGAGCTACCAGTATTTCCCTCTACTGAAAAATGTTCTCTAAAACGGGATTGAAAGCTTTCGAATATTACTGCTAATGTAACGGTGATACTACTGATGGGGAGGCATGCGAGTAGTATGTTTTGTTCTTGTAAATTCGCTTTGCGTCTCTTGAAAAGGGAGATCTGTTGCGGAATTTGTGGAGTCGCTTTGTAGCATTTGCTTGGATTTGAGTAATGAATGATTGGAGTCAATGAATATCCAGGAACGTTCAAGAATCCGCGTTCTGTAAATAAGATGCTAATGAGAGTTTTGCTTCCCTGTCCAATAGTCTGTAACTGGTCAGTTGGTATTTTCTAATAAATAACTCCGCAGCGAATACCTTCCTTTCACTAGTATTAATACTTTTGCTACACAGGATTTGGTGGGGAAGGTATAAACAATTAATATTTACTGAGTGTCTGTTTTAAACGGTCCAGTCCAAACAGCAATTGTAGATGATGCTTTGGCAACCAGTTTAGCATAACGATACATCCTCAAATCAGTCACGTCAATCTGCAGACTCAACAGGTGAGAACATCGCACGTTCTCCATTCAGATGGCCAACGTCGTCATGCGACAAACTGTCCGTCTGTGTTCTCATCACCACTTGAAGCAGGGTGGAGAGAACTCGGATAGTGATGCGCGTCGTGCCTTGTTGTTGCGGTTGGGACGTTAGCCACAAATGTTGTGCAAAATCAGATAACGTGACACGGCTGACCATGCAAACAAACGCAGTCCGCCAGGTCACGCACACAGCGCGTGATGCAGTCGTTGTTCCCCTCTGGGGTATTCGAAATAACGTGTCTCTCGCTTAAGTGCAAATGGGGCTTGATTTTTAGGGCTTGAGACAAAATGCCTTCTCTATTTGAGGCTCACTGAGGTCCAGAACTGTTTGTGTGACTGGGGCCGGTATGGTTATAAGGCTTGATTATCCAGACGCATCAAGCCGCACATTGAACGGAGCGCCAATGGAGAAGCACCATATCATCCGATATGTCGTGTGAGGGCTTTAGACGTTTCTGCTTTTTCATGTTGCACTCATACGTATGCGCTGACATTTACGCGGAATGACACACTTTTGCACCGTGAGTGAATCACACCAGGGGGTCCATGATGGTGCTGACGCCATATGGTCACGAACCTACACTGGTATCCCGCTTCACACTTCTGCTGTGTTTATGACGAGGATCCGGGAGTGTATAAGTCCGTTCCTTTGAAGCACAGTATCAAGCTAGCAGCTCAGCTTGCATCTCAAGTGTCTTCGTTGAAGACAAGCAGAAGACAAGTGGAAGAAGGATTGGCGGTAAATCTCCCAATGTTCCTTACCTCTTTGCCCTGATCAATGATCATCAGTAATCGTTTGAATGCGTTGACAAAACGCTCTGTCTGGTCATCTGGTTGTGAACGATGAACAGGAGAATGCACATGTCATTTTAATGACAACGCTGGTGGCAGATGCGGACTGTGTTCCACTCCCAGTGACTGACTGACTGCTTCTGGATAGCCCAGCTGGTTAAATAGAGCTCGATGGGGCGCTGTTGTGATGCCACCAGGTGATCATTGACGGGAAAAGACGCACTAACGACAATAATATGGCTGGTAACATCAGTTGAGCCATCAAATTGATTATGCAGTCTTGACCGTGGATGCTCTCTAGTGGGCTATGGCAACAGGTACTTTAGATAGGCTCTTAGCTGCAAAGGCCCAATGCCAACAGGTGTGCCTCCTCTCTCCCCGTCAGACCCTTACCTTACTTGAACTCACTGATTTCTGCGTCTACTTTATGTATTCTACATTTACCCTCAACCCCTCATGAACTTTTGACTCTTAACATGTCGGATCAAGTTTGATGAACTTATCACGAGCGATTTTGGACCCCTGGTGTTGCCACGTACTTGCACGCACGTTTGTCGGTAATTCACATCGATTTGCCATTCTTGTCGGGCTTTCTTTGGACTTGCATCGATTCGTGTAGTAGTTAGACAGAAGTCCCCATCATTTTAAGTTTGTGTCCTTTCCGGGTACGCGTCTTGTAAGGTTAGTATCGCATCTTATTGATGAATCTTAAGAATTCGCAATTCTTGGCTTGTGATTTGGCGCGTCACTCACTTGGATTTCCTAGCAGGCGTTGACCCAATATTCCACGAATAAACACAACTGTGGGCAGGCGCATTCATCTGACTGATAAAAGTATATGTGGTGTGGGATGAAGAGAACAGGTCCACCTATTCTGTTTTTACTCAAAAATTGAGCCCACTGCTATCAGGGGACCACGATGATTAGTGAGTTGTTGTAAATCACCTATGAACTTTCGTGCAGGACGGGATTTTTTTACATACGTGATGGTTTTTGATAACAAGGGCTCTATGACAGCGTCATGAATGTTAGGGAAAGTGGCTGAAAGAG